TTTTTTTCCCCTCTTTTTTTTTTTTTTTTGTTTTTTTTCCTTTCCCCCTCCTTTCTCTTCCTCTACTTCTTTTGGATTTTAAACTCTTGTGATCTTCAAGGAAACCATGGTGCTTCTCCACCCCTCCCCGGTGTTCACAGTGCCCTTGTTTCTGAAGCCTTTTCAGAGCAGAAACTGCCGATGGGTCCGTGCTTGCGTTGCAGCAGCCTGGATGCAGTTTACACTTTAGCGGGACCCGGTTTCTGTGCTGCTGTGTGAATGTTAGCGATGCCCTCTCCCTCCTCCTCCTCCTCCTCCTCCTCCGGGGCTGCGTGCCAGCCGCCTCGCGCCAGCCTGGGCAAAACCTCCCAGGCTGGGACAAATATGCATGGCCTCTGGTGTCCGTACTGTTACCGAGCATCCGGGATGCCCGTGCCCAGGATGCCCTTCCCAACGGCGGGCAGCAGCCCCGTGCCTCCCCCTGGGCCTGATCCGCTTCCATCCCCCCGCCCGCCGGGGTGGCTTTGGGAGAAGCGGATGGCGCAGAGCTCCCGCCCCGGGGAAAGGGCTGCTCCTTGGCCAGGGTCCTGCTGGCCCCGGGGCGCAGCCGGCAGCCCCCCCTGGAAGGGTTACCCCTGGTTGTTTTATAAATATATATATATTTTTTGTAGCAAGGTATTGTTACCTCACGTTAGCGCTGGGGGCCGGCGCACAGCCGTCCACGGACGCACTCGCATCCCTAAACTGGGCTCGAGCGAGGCAGCCCCCCCCCCGGGTTCGCCAGGGGGGCTCGGTGGTGGCTGGGGGTCCCCCACCCCGGCGCTGGGTCCCACTCCCACCACCAAGCCCGGCCGTAGCCCTTCCAGTGCCCGTGGCCGTCTCCACCGCAGAGCTGTACACGCTTCCTTTTTCTGATGTGGTTTTTGGAACCTCTGCCACGGTCCGTTGCCCGGGACGTCGCCGGCAATGCAGACGCGGGCGGGCGCGGGTTGGTTCTCTACACTCGCCTGCGGGCGCGTTGTAACCAGACCCTCCGGCATCCGTGTCCCCATTTTGCTAAAACTTTTTAACCCAGGGTATTTCGTGCTGAGTGACTGAATGTAGAGGGGGAAGCAAAGCCGGCCTAGCGAAGCCTGTATGGAGATTGTAAAGCGCTGAAAAACCTTTTTTTTTAAAAGCCAGCGAGAAATGTGCCCTGTACTGAGTTATTGTTTGAATAAAAGTTTTATTTATTGCATTGAGCTGGGCCTCGGTGTCTTTCTCGGCTGCCCTGCCTGTGTGCTGCCCGTCACCGTCTGCGCTGCCCATTGCACATTGCCATACTACTTTTTTTTTTTTTTTTTTTTTTTT